TACCTGCAAGTTCCTTTTTTTTTTTAATTATGACCCCGGTTTAATGAACTTAAAAGCTTCAGACAGAGAGAACTGATGACAGAAACAAGTAAATTATTCAGTTATCAATGATATGCACAAAATTAAGCTATTTACAAAGATTTGGAGTCTGGAATCGAATTCCTAAATTTCTTCAAAGGTTCACGGTACTTTCCTCAGCAATTTCAGTTTAACAAGCTTGACTGAAAAGTCACAGTTTTCTGTAGGAATTTTCTGTAGTTTTTCAAGTGTTTAAAATGTAGTGACACTAGGTTTCAGTTCAATCAGATTCTTTCAATATAAAAATTCAGTAGGATATATAACCTTGACTTCAAATGCTGACTTAACCTCTTTGCGGCGGGGGTCCCTGGTACCGGACACATAGGCCTTATATCCCTGGCCGGGGTACCCGAAATCGGAACTTTAATTTTAAAAAAAGTTGCTGGGTGTTAAAAAAATTTGGTTGTTGTCAGTTAAAAGTTTAGGCCATCAGCCGAGGTAATTAAATTGCTCATAGGTGATAATGGGTTCCTGGGGCCAGAGAACTGGGCCTTTATTTCAAAGTTGGGGTGACCAAACTTGTAAAATCCTGCAATAAATGACCGAGCTGCTGGGAGTTGCTAATCAATCATCTATGCTTTCAGTGCAGAGCACTAGCCATTAGCGGAGGTAATCCATTTGTTTGTGAAGAGCACTATTGTTTGTGCTGCCAGCCCTTGCAGTGGATAATCACTGCAGACAAAGCACGCGCTGTGTGGGCTCACAATGCAGGTTGAGTGACGTTGACTGACATTGCTCGGCCTGATGTTGCTTGAAAATAAAATTGCCACACAGTGGCACTCAAGTCTCGAGTTTTAGCGTAAGCACTGTTTCAGAGTGCTGACAACCTTGCTGAAGTTATATCCGAAGAATCCTGTTCTTCCAGTGATGAAAGTGATTTTTTTTCAGTTCAGATGAGGGTTCTTTGTCTTGTTCCTTACCGCTGACACCTGCCCAAGTACACTCGAGTACAGAGATAGACAGTGATGTACCCTTGGTGGTATATGCCAAGTACAAGAGACAGTCCCCAATGCAGACCGCTGTATTGACCAGCAGCAGTGCTGCACTGTTCCGGTGGACAGATGAAGACAGCACGCTGCTGAAGTACGGCTTCACCAATAATGGTGGTGCCGTCGATCCCCGCCTGCATCACAGCTCAACATGCAGTGCGGCCTTTGAGCTGTTTTTTTGTTTGTTTGATAATATCCTGTACAAGAAGATACATAGTCCAGGAGACCAACCAGTATGCCGTGCAGAGGCCTACTATGACATCGTCACACGTGCGACCGTGGACTGATGTAAACACCAGAGAACTGAAGGCTTTTCTGGGCCTTTGCATTATGATGGGCATCGCAAAACACCCAATCCTTCACAGCTACTGGTCAACCGATGCACTGCTGAAGATGAACTTATTCCCATCCACCATGCCCTGAGACTGCTTCCTTGCCATCCTTTAGTCCCTGCACCTCAATGACAAGAGTGCCATGCGGGGACTGAGCTGACCACCTTTTCAAAGTGGGCCCAGTCGTTGACCATCTTGTTGAGAAGTTTGCCACTGTCTACATTCCTCAATAGGACATTTCCGTCGATGGTTTCCTACTGAAATTCTATGGGCATCTACACTTCACCACCTGCAACCCAAGAAAGAGGGCCTGCTTTGGCATCAAGATGTATACTGTAAGTGTTGTTAGAGCACTGGGGATGCTGCCGGGTACTGCTGCAACTTCAAGATTTACACCGGCCAAAGCAAGGAAAGTACCATACCATCCACTGAGGGACACTTGAACATATATTTTCCATTTTCATGGACATTATTTTGTGTGTTTCATGACTTAATGCCCCATTATATCTGGTGTACTACTTTTACTTTTAAGTAAAACATGGTACTAGTTTTGGGAGTTGTCATAGTTTTATCCCTTGAAAAAAATGACCAAAAAAAAGGTTCTTGAATGGACTGATTATAGGACATGTTATATTTTCATCCCTTGAAAAAGTAACAAATTCTATGTACTGGTTTTAGGAGTTTGGTCATATTTTCAACCCTGAAAAAAATTACAAAAAACAAAGTATCTTGAATATACTGGTTGTAGGAGATGTTACATTTTCATCCCTTGAAAAGTAACAAAATTCCTTGTACTGGTTTGAGGAGTTTGGTCAAAATCAAAAATAACCAAGTATCTGGTAATTGATGCTGGGTCATTTCTTGGAACAAAAGAGGAATTATGCAACACCACACATGGGAGCTCCACACAGAGTTGGCGGTGTGCCTGCAAAATTTGAAAGTCAATGGAGGTTGAACGTTGGGCTAGACTCACCCCAAAACAGTCATTCTATGAGGTTTACGCACTCAGAAAAAGATTTTGAAATTTTTGAAAGAAATAATTTTAACAGTTTATGTAGCGTCTCCTCACCGCTCCCTCTTTTGATAAAAGTTCAAAGCCGTAGTCACAGGAAACGGGACCAGATCATGGCTACCCCTGTCATGTGCCTTCCCATACTTTTCTATATATTAACTAAATTGATACACTAGCGGTGCTGGATGAATATTTTTAAATGCTGTTTCCAAAGGTCGTAATGCTTTGTGTTTTTGAATCCAGGTTTTGCAGTGAAACAGTGGTCAAGATATGTTCCCATGAAAGCTCCCATGAGGCACCTGCAGCACCATAGCAATATGACACTTGAAAATGGAATCACCTTTTTTGCTCCTGGTCAAAATTATTTTTACTCCTTTCATTTTTACTGCTTATTTTCACTTTTTATGACTGCAAGAATCTTTGGCATGAAGCTGTTTAAAGATGTTCCATTAGAATAAATACCTTCTTTTGATGACTTAAGTGTTCAAGATTCTAATAATATGCCATTTCCCCAAAAGTGTATAAAAAAAAGAAAAGTTTTCAGATCATTCTCAGTTACTCGTCACCATGGCCAATAAGAAGGAATTCAGTGAGAACATACATGTACGCCAGCATATCTTGAATGCCCATAAAGAAGGCAAATGTTACAAGGCAATTTCCAAGCACTATGAGGTCCCTGTTGAAACAGTTCAGAGTATCATCAGGAAGCATAAGAGGTTCAACATAGTGAAAAACCTCAATGGGCATGGCAGGAAGTGTAAAGTATCTCGTAGACTCGCCAGAAAAATCTGCTGGGAGGACAACAACAACCCATGGATCACAACCAAGGCCCCAATTGATGACCTTGATAAGGCAGGGACAAAGGTGTCACGGGCAACCATCCAGTGAGTATTACATAAAGGAGGTCTCCATGGATACAGGCCCAGGAGGACACCACTACTCAAGAAGAAACATAAAGAGGCTCATCTAGCATTTGTTAGAGCACATCTGAATCAAGATCCTACCTTTTGGTTGTCGGTCCTGTGGTCTTATGTGACAAAGATGGAATGGTTCGGCCACATGGATATTGCCTATGTCTGAAGGACGCAAGGGGAAGCATATAAGCCAAAGAACACAGTCCCAACCATAAAGCATGGTGGTTGGGTTTCCTTCTCTGCTAGTGGCACCCAAAACCTCATTAAGATACAGAACATCATGAAAAAGGAGGATTATATCAAGACATGTGGGTTTGTGTAGTGTAACAACTAGACAATAGATACAGTGGAAGTACTAACACAATAGCTTTTACAAATGAAGAATTTAGAAAAGTAGGTTATTTCCAAAGGGTATGAATAATTTTGAGCACAACTGTATTACACTCTGACCGAACTTTGCATCAAAAGTGGCGTACTTAACGTGTAAAAGATGTTTTCCCCGTTTATTGCTACTAAATACCTTTTGGTTGTTGGGAAGTCTGTCACGATCTGTCATGATCTGCCTCAATTTTTTCCTACCATGATAAAGCGCAGGGGGTATGATTCAGTAGCCTATCCCTGCTTTCAAAAAATGGGGGTATACGTATGTATCCCCCATCTACCCTCCCCGGGATTTACGCCCATGGAGATTTAAAATGGTAGCTAAGTTGTTCCAAGCCTGAGGCCTAAGATTGAAAGATTGTGCAAGGATTAATTGGTATCATTCAACATATACATGTGTACCTAAGAAATATCTCTTTTTAACAAATCCAAATGGGTCTATCTATTACGTGAAATCTTGTGGCAAACAGTCAAATTTTCCGAGCCCCCTTGACAGGATAGTGACATAGTTATGGCAGGGATACAGGATGCTCGAAAAGGGCAAACCACCATTTTTGATAGAGAGGGTTTTTCCAGCTCTGTTATGCGAATCTCCCCATGTCATCAGCCTATTTAGCCCCTATAGCATGACCTTTAGAGTGGAATCAACATATGACAAAAACTGTCAACACACCTTGAACACCTTGTACATTCCAGTTTCCAAATTGAGAAAAGAGTCCTAAAGTGTAATATATGGGCTAAGGGAGACTTTCCTTTGGTTTGAAGTTACATTTTAAATATAATGGTACTAGTAAATTTTTTTTTCGCACAAAACATGATCTCTAAGCGACATAAAGTGTATTGTAGCTATTGGCTGCCATCATGCCTTCTCATGGAGCTTGGAGCGCATGTAGACAAGTATTGCTATCCGCCAAGGACCAAAGCTCACAAGATTGAAATTGGGAACTTAACTGTTGGTTGAACCATGGAGGAAAAACTTTTATGTTTACATTTATATCAGTATATTGTTGGTCAGTGGATCCAAGAGTTCTCAAAATGAAAAAAAAAATTTTTTGTCCAGTTCTGAATCAGCAGATCAGACCACCAACTTTACAAAAAACACTCACTGTTTTGATTTTTGCAATTTTCATTCGTTTTATCAAAAGATAAATTATCATCCGATTCACATGTAATGATCACCCCTCTATTAAAGCAACTGAAGTTTTAGAACCAAGCTATGTATTGAAATTTGTCTTACATTGTATTCAAGTGTAAAACTGAACTCATGTGAAAATTTTTTATATTTTATTTGCAGTCAAGAGAAGCAACATATCGAGGTCACACAGACAGTGTTGACCAACTATGCTGGCACCCATTTCATCCAGAGTTATTTGTTACGGCATCTGGAGATAAGACCATCAGAATATGGGATGCAAGAGCTAACAAGACAGTAGCAACAGTTAATACAAAAGGTAATTCAAAGGTGGTGGACATACATGTACATACATGTATGTAAAGGACATATAGGTGTATATATCTAAATGTATATTTTGTAAACATTCAGGCCTTGACGTTAATTAGCTGCTTCGGCTTAACTGCTGGCGCAGCTGTTGCTTGCGTCAAAGTTTCTTTGGGCTTTTTCACAATTTTGCAAAAAATTGCATTCTTTTTGTCAAGATTCTTTTATAGTGATTCCCTCTTCTTCTTGTTCCCATTCCTTTGTACATAGTTTTTCTCCACAGCACTTTAGTCCATTTGCAAGGGTCAATCTTCATCAAAGTTTCCTCAAGCAAAGACGTGCTGCGAAGCATGATGTCATGATGACGTCATTGCCTGATTTTTTTATTGAATTTTGAGTATTTAATTTTCCCCATATATTTTGTACACGTTTTTCAACAGCCAGAATGGCTTAGACTTTGATCACTTTAGAAAATGAAACGTGGTACAAACAAAGAGCATCAGCATAGATGAATGTAGAAGTATAATGTCACTTTCGCATCAAAATTAGATTTTTTAATTTAATGTAGAAGATTTAATTTCTCCCATTGACTTTGTACACATAAAATCCAATGACTTCACAGTTTTGCCTGGGGGCTTACTACGCATGTGCGTTGTGCGATCAGCTGACTTGTGCGATATTGGTCCATGTTAGCAGTGTCGCGCAATCTTATTGCATGATTTCTAGATAATATGGTTGGAAGGTTGTGAAAAAAATTGTTTGAAAAATCGAGGGGGTTTGAACTCTGAGATTCCATGTTATCAGGCCTCAACCAATTTTCATAATATTCAACACAAATCATCCATGCATGTATTGACAGTCGGTATGTGCTGTCTCGCATCAACACATGGATTCCATCGGGACGATATTTTCGAGGGGCCCATGTGTTTTCTCAGGACCTCTTGGGTCTTCCTGGACTTGAAATTGCACCAATTGAATTCTTAACGGACTTTGCTTGCTCAGAGGATTCCAAGGTAATCCCATAAAAGCTGAACTGAAACCAAATTCATGCACCGAAACTGCAAAAGGGCTTGACACCAAATAGGCTTTTGATCATGAGCAAGGGTACACTGGGCTTGACAGCTACCGGGTACGCATAGTGCGGTGGGCAGCTGGGTTTGGAAGCTGGATGGATGAAGTGCTGGATCTCGTTCTGGTAGGCAAAGGTATACGTATTACAAAACATGCCCAATTGCAAGTTTTTGTCTGCACTTTCCGTGCTATGTAGCTCTGGACAGTGATGTTAAGAGAATTGACTCAAATTAGCTCTGAATTTGCACTATGACATATCCCAAGAAACTTGAACTCTACAAATGGCCTTTTTTAACATTTCAATATGCTCACCGTATGTCCAAATGATAAAAAGGTGATTAACAGTGATTATGCAAGTCCTATGTTTCAGTGCAATCCAGTGATCAACTTGCACATATTCATTAGCTCCCTCCTGTGTGCATATATTTTAGTATGATGGATTTTAATCAAAGGTAAATCAAATCAGGATGGAACACAATACATGTACATGTAGGTACATTTGCAAGTTTTACGATTATGCGGAACATAATTTGTATCTGTATTATGAGAAGAGTGTTATAGGTCTTCACTTGATGGCAGTCAACATAGACGAAAATTAACCTGTGATAATGACGTCATAAGATGACAAGTCACATGACATAAAAGGTGCATCCTTTAAAGCCCTATATCTCTAGAAGTACTTGTCCTAGCGTGTTGAAAATTAGCAGATACCTGGAAGGAGATGCATTAGAGACAAAAATTGACATCATTGGCTGATGACGTCATCAGTTGACAAATCACATGACATGAAAGGTGTATCCTTTAAAGCCTTATATCTCCAAAAGTACATGTCCCAGTGGGATGAAACTTTTCAATTATGCAATCACGAGGATGACATTTTCAATGAAAAGCGAAAAAGCCCTATGTTCTGTCGCAAACAGACATAGAAGCTCTCGTTGGCTTTTTCGCAATTTTGTGAAAAAGACATTCTTTTTTTGGTTTTTTTTGCAAGTTTGCAAAAAAGGCATTCTTTTTCTCCTTTTTTTGTCCTACTTTTTCTTCTGCTCCAAAGCCTTTCTGTTTTGTGCACGTTTTTGTCGCCACGACCTTAGTGCTTTTGCAACTCTGGATCTTCATCAAACTTATACATTCACTGATACCAACGAGACTCGACTACTGTAACACACTCATGTACAACTTACCTCAATATCAACTTGACAGGCTTCAGCAACTTCAGAACACTGCTGCACGGCTGGTGACACAGACCAGACAATCTGATCACATTACTCCAGTATTGAAGCAGTATTAAAGTCGCTTCATTGGTTGCCTGTATGGAATCGGGTAACTTTTAAAGTTCTCCTTCTAATTTACCACATACTCAATGGAACTGCACCCTCATATCTCACTGATGCACTGCCTTGATACACTACAACGTGGAACCTTCGCTCATCGCAATTCATCTCATTTGTCCTTCCCGGTGTGCACGGTTCGTGGGGATCCCGGGCTATACAGTATGCCAGCGCATTTGCACTTGGCTTCTTCCATGGACACTTTTAAGAAATATTTGAAAACTCACTTATTTGAATTGTGCATGCTGTAAGACCTTTGCATTGGATTATAATTATCAAGTTAATCATATTCAGTCAGCAGTTTCCCTCATGTTGTGTTATTTCTGTGTGTGGTGTCAATGTTTGTCACGTTGTTCTTGTTATGTTTTGTTGTTGCTGTTGTTTGTGTTGGGTGGGGTGTCTCTTGTTAAGTTGACTATTTGTAGTTTGTCAGTGGTTTTGGTACCTGCTTATTTTATGGTGTAGTTATTTTTCATAGAATAAAATACCTTTTTGATAAGATGTTGTAATGCTTTTTAGGTCCTTGTATATGCTATATAAATTAATTCTGTATCTTTTCTTGCTTGGATTACCTGAAGGTTATTAATGCAACATGGTTGTTTTATTTTTATGATTTTGGTCTGTGGTTTGGGGTTGGGTTGGTGTTGGTTATTCAACTGTTGTTCATTGGTTGTTTCTCAATTCCCTTCAAACTTATGTTTAATGTTTTTTAGTCCTCATCATTTCTAAATGCTGGTTCTTAAAGTTAATATTTTTATATGCCATTGAATGGTAAGTCCAAAGTTTTAACTGCCTTGGTTTTGATGTAATTCTTTCTAACAAAATGTTTTTTTTTTAGAAATTTTACTTTGATTGGATTATTTTGCTAATTATCTAGTTTCTTTAAAGTGCCTTGAACATATTTTTTAATGGATTTGGCTCTATGTAAGATTATTACTATTATTATTTTTATTATTTCTGCCATTATTATTATTATTATACCAATGAAGAACCCTAAGTATGCATAGATGGTCCTAGAAACATCATGATGACATGATCAAATGATTTATTATTGATTTTTACATATTTATTTTAGCCCATTGACTTTGTACACATTTTCAAGGCACAATTTGGGTTACTTTGCAATTCCCAATCGTCATCAAAATTACAGCCGGTGAAGACTACGATGCAAAATTATTGCCTAATTTATGATTTCATGATGACATCATCACCTTATTTTATATTGATTTTTGAACAGCCAGACTTCAATACTCTTATAGGTCTGACTGGTTATATATTAGGTGCTTGCTTTTAGACCATGAGCTAGAGAAGGTCCAAGAAGAAAACCATCATAATGATGTCATCATATGTCACATGACTTGACATTAAATCTGTTAACTTCAAAGCCTCTTATCTCCTACAGGACAAGTCCTATCTGATTGAAATTTGGCAGATAACTACATGTAGAAAGGGAAGTGTTAAAGATGAAGGTTGACCCTATGTGAAGATAACACCATCAGGAAACAAGTCACATAACATTAATGGGGCACTCTATAAGGCCCTATATCTCCTGAAATACATATCTGTACATATCCCATTGACTTCAAACATTGCAGATAACAAGAAAAGGAAGTGTTCTAAACGAAAATGTACCTGATGTGATGATGACATCAGATGAGGAGTCAAATGACATTTATTTAAAGCATGTTATTTCCTGAAATACATGCCTGATTGGTTTGAAACCTAGGACCCAAATGTTCATAATGACAGATTTACGGCATTAGGTTTGTGCAGTGGATTGGTTGTTCAGCTTAAGAAAGGGATGCGAAAAAGCCCTCTGTTCTGTTGACAAACAGACAGATGACCTCTCTTTTTAGCTGCTTGGGGTTCTGCCGAAGCAGCTTTTGCTCTCCTTAAAGTTTTTTTTTAGCTGTTAGCAATCTCAATTGGGAACATCTTTTGTAATTGTTAAAGTTTTTTTCCTTTTTTTTCTTTTTCCGCTTGTTTTTTTCTAAGGGGACTTTAGCAAATATTTTAAATCTGGTTAATTTCAAACTTGGTATAGTAATTAACCAAAATCAGAAGATGTGCTGCAAAACTCGTAATCGTGACGTCATCAGAAGTCATGTGACCTCAGTTCAAAAGTTCATTCTTTACAGTTTAATAACTAGTAAACTATTTGACCAATTTAGGTCTAATTTGGTATGCGCTTAGTCAGGGACGTGTTATAGATGAATATTGATATCTTGACCTCATGTGATCTCTACTTCCAGTTTGACCAGATAATTGGTTTTTTGTTATACATGCCTCTGGCTATTATTTGTAATCCAATTCATTGCAAACTGAGGATACTCACTGACAGTCATCAAAACAAAAAACTTTGGGAACGGCTATGTGCTTGTTCACAAACACCACCTCTAGTTAGCTGTTTTGGCAGTTGGCCAAACAGCTATTGTTTTTCTTCTGTTTTTTGTTCTTTTTTTGGCTTTTTCGCAATTTTATGAAAAAGGCATTCTTTTTGTTCTTTTTTTTTTGCTTCTTCTTCTTCTGCTAAAGCCCGTTTGTTTTGTACACGTTATTTGTCGCTGCCACTTTAGTGCTTTTCCAACTTTGGATCTTCATCAAACCTATACCA